GTGGGGATGGAGGGACAGTGCAGTGACAGAGGGACATGGGGAGAATGGGGGGACATGGAGAGTATGGGGGAAACAGTGTTCCTGTGGTGGGGCATTCTGGTATCCAGGGGTGGCATGGGAGTTTGATGGGACAGCATAGGGATGGGGGAATAGCATGGGGATGGAGGGACATGTGGGGTGCATGGGGGAACTGGGGGGAACAGTGCTTGAGTGGTGGGACATTTTGGTATCCAGGGATGGTGTGGGAGTTTGATGGGAAGTTTGGGGTGGAAGGGACAGTGTAGGGACTGTGGGGATGGAGAGATAGCATAAAGATAGAGGGGACAGTGTGGGGAAGGAGGGACAGTGTGGGATCGAGGAGACAGGGTGGGGATGCAGGTGACAGTGTGGGGATAGAGGAACAGTACAGGATCGAGGGGACAGTGTGGGATAGAGGGAACAGCACAGGGATGCAGATGACACTGTGGGATAAAGGGGAGCGTGTGGGGATGCAGGTGACGGTATGGGATGGAGGGACAGCAGGAGAATGCAGGAGACAGCGGGGCTGGAGGAGGGGACAGTGAGGAGATGCAGGGGGGCAGTGAGGGGATTACACAGAGCCGGAGCCGATTTCATCACCCACAGCATTACGGATTCGGATCACATTTCGGGCAGCCAAGGCAGGAGCAGCCCCAGCACTGACCCAGGGCAGAGCCTCCCCTCTGCCAGGGCACAGGGCTGGGACCCCTGGGCATGACACCCACCACACACCAGGGGCTGGGACCCCTGGGCAGGATCCTCCACCACACACCAGGGGCTGGGACCCCTGGGCAGGATCCTCCACCACACACCAGGGGCTGGGATCCCTGGGCAGGATCCTCCACCACACACCAGGGGCTGCGACCCCCGGGCAGGATCCTCCACCACACACCAGCCCTGGGATGGCAGCACGGGCTCCCTGCAGCTCCCTGTGGGGCAGGAATCCCCCCAAACTGGCCTGTTTTACCCCTGTCTTGCAGGGAAGCTGCTGCTGCCCTCTTGGCAAATCACCCTGGTATTGCAAAGGGGTCCAGAGAGACCCTCCTGGGACTCCCCTTCTTCCCAGCCATCCCTCCTTGGAGCAGCCCTGCATCCCAATACTGGGGCGGCTCCTGCTCTGCAATCCCTCCCCTGGCAGGGCTTCCCATGGTCAGTGTGTGCACCCCAGGGTGATCCTCCTCTGAGTCCAAGGGATTGTTTTATAGGGAAAACAAGTCATAGCGTCACAGGATGGTTTGGGTTGGAAGGGACCTTAAAACTCACCCCATCCCACCCCCTGCCATGGGCAGGGACACCTTCCACTAGCCCAGGTTCCTCCAAGCCCTGTCCAACCTGGCCTTGGACACTTCCAGGGATGGGGCAGCCACAGCTTGTCTGGGCAACCTGTGCCAGGGCCTGCCCACTTTCACAGGGAACAATTTCTTCCCAGTGGCCCCTCACCCACCACTCTTTTGCATGGTTACTACATGCAGGAGCTTCTCCCCTAAATGAAGTTGTTTGGGTTCTCCCTGGAATCCAAACCACCTGTTTGTGTTCCTTAAGCTGGGTTTTATAAACTGCACGGACAACAACAAGCTTCAAAAGAGGAGGGCCAGCAAGTGGCCACTGAGGAAGATGGATGGGGGCACAAGGGTGAGGGTCCCCTCAGCTGCTGCCAAGAGCAAGGGCTGTGTTTTAACCTGTTCACCAGAGCCCAGCAAAGACTGTCTGACTTACACAGACAGGTCACTCACCTGTTTTATTGCCTTGAAGACTCCACAGAAGTTGTGCTGAAAACATGAACACTCGTGGCCTCTCCCTCCCCTGGGCAGCAGGACTGGCTGAAGCAGCAGCAGCTCCACATTTGTGGTTCGGCATCATTTGAAACGCAGCCTTCGATCCCCAGGGTGGGTTGACACTGGAGAGGTGCTGAGCCAACGTCGTGTCCTCCCCAAAGTGCCATGAAAGCAGCAGCTCTGGGGCTGTGGTGGCAGCAGGAGGAGACGGAGCTGCAAACACCCAGCGGATGTGATGGGCACCAGAGAGGTGGGACCACCCCTGCCCACCAGCTCTGGTTCAGACTTGGCAAACAGAACGGAAAAAATGATCCAAGCGGGGTTTATCCACCACCCAGAGCGGCCACTTCTATGGGCAACCACCTGCACGGGCTGGGCACGGCTGTGAGGGGACTCAGGGCTCCCAGAGGGACCTGCCCTCGCCCCGGCCATGGCTGAGGGGGCTGAGGGGACTTAGGGCTCCCAGCTGGACCTGCCCTCGCCCCAGCCATGGCTGAGGGGACTCAGGGCTCCCAGTGGGACCTGCCCTCGCCCCGGCCATGGCTGAGGGGGTTGAGGTTCCCAAGCCGGACCCTGCCCTGGCCCTGGCTATGGCTGAGGGCTCCCAACAGGGCACAGACAGACCCTGCCCTCGCCGCGGCCTCTTTCGGCCGCTCGCGGCTCTCCAGGGCCGGGCCCTCAGGCCGCCATCGCGGTCCTGGTGTGGGGACCACGAAATGCCGGCCCCGACCCCGTGCTGGCCGCGCTCCCGGCCCCGTCCCGCCCCGGCGGAACGTTGTGTGCGCGGAACGCGAGGCGCGGGGCGCGGTTTCCTCGCCGGGCCGGCCCCGCCGCCATGGCCGCCGTGCCGGCGGAGCTGAGGCGGCCTCAGGAGCGGCCGGAGCGGGCGGGGGGCGCGAAGCGGCCGCGGCGGGAGGAGCGACCCCGGGAGGAGCGGCCCCGGGACGAGCCCCCGGCCGAGCCCGGGTACCTGGCGCTGGCCCGCGGGCTGCTGGCCGGCGGCGCCCCGGCCCTGCGCGGCCCCGCGCCCGCCCGCCCTGCCGGGGAGCCGGCGGGGGACGGAGCCGGCGATGGTGACGATCTGCTGGGGCAGCTCATCCGAGACCTGGTAGGGCCGTGCGGGGCCGGGGGTCCTGCCCGGGGCACAGAGGCGGGCAGGGGGAGGAGGGGCCGTGGTGGGGCCCGTTCCCGGAGCGGAGAGAGCGGCTCGGCTGTGCCCGGCCCAGGAAGGGGATGCCGCTTTTGGCTTCCTCTCTGCTTGTTAAAACCTCAGCTTCCGAGCGTATCCCACTTACAAAGCTTTAACCCTCCAAAATCTGCTTTTCCTGTGTCGTCCTTGTGCGTCCCTTCCACCTCAGGGTATTCCGTGACTCTTTGATGGCCCAGGGTGGGATTCTCGCCCTGTCCCCTGCAGGGCCGGGAGTTGGGCTCCGTGATCCCCTTCCAACTCTGGATATTCCATGGCTCTATAAACAGTATTTTATTTTTGCTCTTAAAAACCTTAAAAGAAGGGAAAGGGAGCTGTTTGTGCAGGAAAATTGTGGATAAGGAGGGAGTTGCTTGCTTGGGCTGTTTGGTGCCCGTGCAGTAATTAGGGATATCCTGCCTTGTGACACGGCAGTGTAATAAGAAAACAAGCTTTATTTCTTTAAATAAAGGAGTTAATTTGGAAATAGTCTTAAATACTGCTCTGAACCAGATAAAAGTTATTTTGGTAAATCCTCTGAATGCCATAGAGGTTTTTATTTACAGCATAGGAAAACAAGGGGGGAAACCCATTTTCTTGTTTCTCGCTCACCTCCCTGTGACTAATTACTCTTTGCTTAAAAAAAATTAAAAGGAGCAGATTAAATTTCTGTCTGCAAGGCACAAATTAATCCATTTACAGAATTAGTGCTCCATTAGCACACAGGAGCCCGAATCTGTCTCAGAGGGGATGGTTGTATTTGAGTTCTGGATTCATTCCAGTAGACTTTTAGACAGGCTGGTGCTGACTTAACATCCCTGCTTCCTTGTGCTGAGGACAAGCTGCTGGGGTTTTTGGGAGGTGGGAAGATCTTGATCTGCCTCTTCTTTTAGGATGGCATTATAATTGAATCAGTAGGAGCTTGTGTTCTGTCGTAGTCTCCGTTGTTTGCCTTCAGAAAGTGAGGAAGATCCCAAATCGGGATCATCTCCTGCCTCTTGGCACTTGCCTCTCCCTGTCTTGTGTCTTTGTAGGGCTCTTCTACAACTACTTCTCATTTAATGGACCCTTTGCAGTACAAATGTAGAAGAAAAAGAGGCAATTCTGGGTTTATTTGAGGGAAGGTATAAATTATATTACAGATTAATTAAAAAAAATCATCTCTCTATTTGTTTTTTCTTATTTTCCCACCTTTTCTTGAGAGCACCGGAGGTCTTGCCTGTTGTGTCTGCAGTCAGTCAGTCCTGATGACACCTCTGTCCATCCAGACAGAGCAGGATCTGCTGGTTGGAAGTGAGTCAACTCCGATTTGGAAGCAGCATATCCATAGTGGTGCCGTGCCTGAGCTCATAAGCCTGGAGCTAATAATCCTTGCCCAATGGCTCCTCTGATTTGTTTGGGCAGCTCCGGGATGGCTCCTGGAGCCGGGTGGATTCACATCTGGCCAGCTTGGAGCCTGCCTGCGTGTTCCCTTTGTGTTTTGCCTTCGGTGTCCCCTCTGGAAATGGATGGGATTTAAATCACAGCACGGCAAACAATCTCCTCGCGGAGCCACAGCGGGGAGTGGAGCCAGCGATCCTCGTGCAGGGGGAAAGGGAGGGAAAGGGAGCTGTTTGGGCAGGAAAACTGTCCTGGTTTAAGTAACTTCAGAGCTAATGTGAGGCTCCAGTCTGCATAAATCGGTGTGTTGTTGCTAAAAAGACCTGATGGGAACGTTGCCCGTGTTTGTGTTGTGTAAACACTGACCTGCTGTAGGATATCTTTTGCATTAAAAACCTCCCCACAACCACATTTACTGTGATTTCCCTGAGTAACTCTGCTTTAAATAAACCCAGAATGGCCTTTTTTTTCTACTTTAGTCCTGAAAAAGGTCCAGGTTTAAAGGGGAGGGTGTAGTTCTAGAAGAGACCTACAAAAAAATAAAGGTATCAGAGACAAGGAAGTGCCAAGAGGCAGGAGAGGATCCCAATTTGGGATCTTCCTGACTTTCTGAAGGCAGGAAATGGAGAGTGGTTTTAACTGAGCAGCTGGTTTTGTGCATGGGGATGGATGGAGAGTGAGGAGGTGTTCAGGAGCACCTGGGGAGGGACAGGAGCCAGGAGAGAACACTGGAGAGCAAAAAGGGTGACAGAAATGATCAGAATGGGCTGGTTTTGCTCTTCTGTATTGCATAGCATGAAAATTTGGAATATCCAGGCTGTGTGAGAGAGAAGACAAATTTTGTTGTGATAACTGCAGGAAGAATATTTAATAATTATGCAGTTAAGCAAAATACATCTAGGAAAAAAAATCCATGTGCTGCATTTAGCTGTTAGTGTAAATTGATGGATTTGGTTCTAAATTTGTGGTTGAGATACTCGATCAGTTAAAAGCAGGAACATTTCACATTAAAAAGACATTAAATGTCACTAATGAAAGAAACTGTAACATCATCTTCCATTCAGTTTTACATCAAAATATTCGTTCATTTTCCCATCCTCTGTGTTGGAAATCCTGTAAGTGAAATTAATAATGGGAACGTGTCTTCAAAATGCTTATTTATTGGGTCTGTTTGGCACTGGAACATTAGATAAAATATTTTACTAGAGCTCGTGCTTTGCCTTTCAGACTTTAGATCAGCCTTACAGTTCTTCTCAATTTGCTTTTTAGCTCCACTAAACCTTCTGATATTCTTTACCTGACTCAGAACAAAGAGTAGCTGGGCACCTGGTTGTTCTGATGTTCCATTAAAGGGAGGAAAGGCAGAATAACTCCTTTTTTACAGAGCTGTGGTGGCACTGAGGGCACGACATCCTCTCTTCATACTGTGGCAACTTCTCCTGCTGTCAAGCTGTGCATTAAAGAAAATTATTTTCTCTTTTTCCTTTCCAGAATGAAATCAATGAGGTTCCTTTCTTTGATGTGCAGCTGCCCTATGAGCTGGCACTGAAGATATTCCAGTACCTGGGCAGGGCAGAGCTGGGAAGGTGTGCTCAGGTAAGTGCTGCTGGCACTTTGATTCTCTGACACCACCTAAAATGGGCAGAAATAATCAAGAAACAGCCACCTTGGTGCAGGGAAGGTGGGTGGCAGCCCCAGTTACTTACAGGAAACACTTCCAAAGCTGAATATTGAGAAATAATCCATGAGCTGGGTTTATAGCTGCAGTTGAGTAGAGTTAAATAAAACATTTGTGGCTCGGGCAGAAGCAAAGCCTTACAATTTAAAATGAATATTGCAGAGATATTTTGATTCAAGTGACTGTGTTCAGAAGTGAGTGTCTTGCTGCAATATTTAGAACTTGGCAGTGCTGAGGGCATGGCAAGAGCTGTTCCTCACACTTGTGTGTGTGCCTGGAAATTGGAATAGTAACTTTTTGTCTGTAGTGTTTTCCTGTGAGGCTGAATTCTTAAGTGACTCTGATTTCCTCACCCCCAGCCCCACAAGGGGTTTATATTTTGATTTTGTGATACTTTCAGATGATGCATTCACCAGTTTATGTTTATAAACTGCCTGTCTTTTCAAGTAGCTTTATGAAACCCACCTCACTCTGCTTGGGGTTGTTCAGCCTCTTTATTTCCTTTCTTCACACATTGAATGATGAACCTCCTCTCTGGATGAGCCAACAAAGCAAACTTAATTGGGAAGTGCTGATTACCCAGTGAAATGAAGTAGAATATTGTGGGTACTCACTGCCAGCTTCTCCCACGGCCACTATTCAGGGTTCCAGGCTGGTGCTCATTAATTTATGTACAAAGCACATCTTGCAGCTTCACAAAAATCCAACCCAAACCATTCTTTGTGTTACAAACAGCCCAGAGAAAGAAATGTTAGTGTGTAAAGACAGAATTGACAGCCAGGGTCGGTTGTGGGTGGTAAAACAGGCACAAATATTCCCCAAATGACCCAGGCATTGAAAGGAAATTGGGCTTTTCGTGTTCAGTGTGAGCACATCACAGTGTTAAACAGCTACAGGTGGTTATTGCTTAAAACTCTGACTTTCTAATGCCTTTTAGCAACAAGGGCTGTTAAAAGAAAATCAATTCCTTGTGCGGGGCTGCTGTTGCAGAGGAAAGAATTCCCGAGGATTATTTTTTTGAGGCTGTCCAGGAGACTGAAGCTTTCGGATACGCTCAAGTTTCTGTCATTTGAGGTAGAGATAAAGCATCAGTAAAGGCCACATCCCATGAAATGGAACAGGCTTGCATTTCTGAACTGAATTAGTTTAAGGTTATTCCTTCCCTCTCTTTTTTTTTTTGCCCCTTGGGCACAATCACTTTACCTCATGGCACGGGAAAAAGGTTGGCTGAGAAAGGGGCTGCTCCTTTCCCTGTGCTTGGGCTGCTCTTGATTTCTCTTTCTCTGTCTCACTTTGGTTTTAATCTCAAACCTGTTCTCATAAGATGTGTTTTAACACATTTTTTTCCACATTTTAACGCATAATTTTCCACATTTCTCCTTCTCCTCCTCAGCCCAAACCATTGTTCCTGTGTGGCAGCTGAGCAAGTGCCCGGGGTTTTACAGGGCTTTCCCAGGGAGATGGATATCCAGTGCAGAGCTGGCTTCTTTTTAAGCGTCCAAATGAAAAGCAAAGCCATAAAAATAAATCCC